GGCTGGAAAACATTGAGGAAGACAATGATGCAAGTTGGCTGCCAGCAATGTGCCCCCCTCCGGAAACTCCAACAGAGTCCATGGAGTTCTTGGCTAGATCATGGAGTCTGTCTGCAAAGGAACTGTCGAATGCTCTTTGCCATGTCCAAGTCGTGAAGCCATCTTCATGCTCTCCGGGCGGTTCTGCTCGAGCTGACAATGGAAGCTCTTTGCTCCCCCTGCAGGAACCTGTACGTATTTCAAATTTTATCATTCCAATTTAGTACTCCTGTGAACAGTAAAAGCATGCTTGATACATAGTATTCAACAATATTAAGAGTACAATAAACAAGATTTTAGAATACTATTGTGTAATGTCAAATCTACCTCAAAGAACACAACATAAAAGTAAACAAAACTATATAGATTTCTCTTATTATTTGTTTACCCAGTTTTCCCATTTTCTTGAAGAATCAACCATTACCAGCTTCGGAGAGTCCTCCATTATCTCCAAGAGGAAGCGATGAGACAAAGGTAATTCCTCCAAAGTCATTCTTGTAAATACAATAAATGCTTCGAGTAAAGCATTCACTTACTCTTATAACACCAGTCGAAAGTAGGGTAAGCACACTTTTTCAATGGGTTAGGTTCTAGGAACATTAATATCTCTAGACTAATGCAAAATAACACAATCTAGACACTTTCTTCATATAGTTTCATTCTAGATGCAAAATAGCATTGACTTGAGCACCAATTCATACATATCTTATGTCTGAATGCATCATGTTCCGAGGATTATTTACGATCAGTTCAATCTATACAGGAATTGCTTCAACTGCATCAAGCTTTCAACCAGGAGCTTCTTTCTAATCAACAGTTGATAAGAAATGGGGTAAGAAATTTTAAGCTCAACCAACATAACATCATATAAGAAGCCATAAACAGATTCAGGATTCTCCTGATCACTGTTATTGTCTAACAGCTCTACTGGAGCATTATCAGGAGCAAGAAAGTAGGTAGATGTTTAAAAGATCAAAAAGAGAGGAAAAGGCAGGAGAATAGAGCTCACAATGCTCAATTGCACGCAGCAATATCTGTGGCAGGGGTTGCAGCTGCAGTGGCTGCCCTTGCAGCCTCATCAATGACCTCTCCAGAAAAAGTAGCCGCCCAAACTAAGAAACCTACTGGAATTGCATCTGCAGCTGCACTTGTTGCATCTCACTGCATAGAAGTTGCAGAAGATATGGGAGCTGATCATGAACAAATCCTATCAGTCGTGAATTCAGCAATCAGTGCAAGGACTAATGGCGATATAATGACACTTACTGCTGGAGCTGCTACAGGTGTAAATTTAATTGCTGTCATAGATTCCATGATCTGAATCTAAAAAATCAATCAAAGTTCACAAATGGGAACAAATTTATTGGTTTTTCTGTAAGTGTAGTTAAGGTAGCTTAATGAAAGACCAAGACAGAGTACAAAAGACCAAACTCACGTAACCTGACTGGATAATTTTTAATGAGATTACTAGTTATTTGTGATGAATTGCTGCTCACAAGAAACTACCTCTCATACAAAGGAATCAAAAGCTAATCTATCATACTATATTCTGATTTGATATTAATTACTAATACAGCATTAAGAGGTGCTGCCACTCTAAGAGCAAGATTACATAAGGTGCATGGACCTGCAATTGCGCTGAATGACGAAAATGTTCAAATCAGCACAGAATCAAATACCTTAGCAGCATTAGATTTTGTTACAAGAGGGGAAGAAATTCTTAAATGCACAAGGAAAGGTAATGATACAGTGAATGTACTTATGCACTAACAGAGAGATTGTATTAATTTTTATGATAATAAAATCATGGTTTTTACAGGAGATCTCCACTGGAAGCTAGTCTCATTCAACATAAATTCAAATTTACAGGTAAAAATTTTGAACACTGCCATATTCTCATAACATTCACTTACGCTTCCTGTTGATGTGGAAGGGATAGTTGGTTTGGTTCCTTTCCTTAAACCCCCTGGCTTGTAGATGATTTGGATTAATGCACACCTGCAGGACCATAAATGAATCAAGAGGTAGCATTGGGTCCTGTGTCTAATGTCTATACTTAGGTGTCAATGCCATTGTATGATACATTGTTTATATTGTTGTGTAAATATTGCAATATACTGAGCAACAAAAATGTATGAAGACTAGTTGAGTTTTCATTAATATTTCTGTCTGAGTTGGTGTTTCTTGGAAAGTTCAAGACTAGGTTACTCTAAGTCTTGGAGAGTTAATTATATTATCTCTGTTCTGAACCATATGGACTTTACCAAAAATTACCTGCCCAGAATAAATATAAATACCTTCATTTTTAGTTCCATTTTTGTTCATGAACTGGCTATTGCTATGATTGAATCAGACTGCTATAATGTTGTACAACCAGTGAACAAACCGTCTCTCTATGCTATGCAATTGTAGTACTGCTACCCAAACTAGGTCATTGACAGGTTTTAAAAATAGGGGGACACATGGTGCAGCATCATTGGATAGATAAGGGGAAAAAATTATCCACGTTGGCTGTACCTGTTAAAGCCCGTTTTTAATCCCCGTCTGAGTAGCATTACTCGTGCAATTGAAGGAGTCGTATGCTTAGAATTTCAGATTTATGTTGTTCTTTTCCTTCTTTAGTATGCAACTTAAAAACTAGACTTGTCTCTCAAAAGCCGACTCATTTTTCAATCAACCGCGGAATGCATAAAGGAATGCGCATCGCTCAACCCAGTTTCATGCTGGAGGCGTTTTTGGTGATCTCGACCGGGGACAACTAGATCGAAGGATTGAAGGAGACATATGCTTAGAATTTCAGATTTATTTAGGGGGATGTCCTCAATTGAGATTGCAATTAATTTTAAAAGTCATTCTAAATTTATGTATCTTCAATTGAGATTTTATTAAATTTTAATTAAATTCATTAAAGTTTAGGTGTACCCAATTGAAATTTTAATGAAATCTTTTAAAATTTAAGTATTCTCAGTAATTAGTGGATTTATAAAGATTTCATTGATAGAAAGATTTTAAAAGATTTGGATGGATTTCAAGTTAAAAAATACATATAAGTAAATTTTTAAAAATTTCATCATATTTAATGAGATTCTTATTAAATTTGTAAGAATCTATTTAAATCCACCAAATTCATTAGAATTTATAATTATTTAAAATTCATCAAAATCTTAGTTGAGAACACTCATGTAGTTCATTTCCTTCCTTAGTGTTCTCTTTCGTTGGGCGTGTAACTAACTGTGTTGTTCACACCATCGCGAAGAACGCTCTCTTATATCCCCATAACTTGGCCTGGTTTGAGGAGTCGTGGAACTTTAAAATTTCATCATATTTAATGAGATTCTTATTAAATTTGTAAGAATCTATTTAAATCCACCAAATTCATTAGAATTTATAATTATTTAAAATTCATCAAAATCTTAGTTGAGAACACTCATGTAGTTCATTTCCTTCCTTAATGTTCTCTTTCGTTGGGCGTGTAACTAACTGTGTTGTTCACACCATCGCGAAGAACGCTCTCTTATATCCCCATAACTTGGCCTGGTTTGAGGAGTCGTGGAACTTGTAATTCGTGATATTGCTGAAAGTTGGAGCTCTTGTCATTCTTTATTCTGAACTTGGCCTATTTTATTTAGAGGAAACGAGTCCAATCAAGATTGTAATTCAGTGTTATCTCTAACCATTTAAAGATTTAGACGATACCGTCCCCAAGTAAAAATCTATAGTGTTTTATACTGTGCTTGTGAAATTACTGCCTACTCTAATAAAAGGATATATTCTTACGACATTTTTAATAAAGTTTGCTTTGAATCAAGGAACTTTAGTCACTTTTACCAGGGCCTGTGAAACTGCAGATTCTCCCCTATACCACTTTTACAAAGAGGTGAGATGAAAAGATAACTGAAGCAAAGCACCTCTACAAGTTTCATCATTTCAATCAGTAAAAAAGTTTATTAAAGTAGACAAGTGCCCATCCTAACCTACCCTATAAGCCGAAAATAGCATTTGTCATTAGTGCACAATTGTTTTCTTAAAACATGATTACTTAAAGCAATATGATTTAGGAGAGTCCCACTTTCTTGATTGCCTAAAAGTTAGAAAACTACAATAGATCCTCAATGTAGATAAAAAATAATCACGCTTTCACTTCATATAGTTGCTTGACTTTGAGGGGTTGTTTTTGTTTTGAGTTGTGTTCAAAAGAGTGGTTGTATACCGATCAATGTTATCATTTATTCTAGTCGAAACCCTGTTCTCTATGGATCCTTTACCACATAGTGCACGATGATTTTTATTTTCTCGATGTGAATATCTATTCAAAGAGTGTATTTCCCATTAGCTAGAATCAAAATACAGGAGAATATGACCAACCTCCCAATCCCACAATGTACGGATGATAGCAATGAATCAAGAAAGTGCACAATATGCTCTGACCTTGATTTTCCCTACTTTTTAGGAGGAGATGACGAATCAAATTTTCATACACGCACCCACACCCGTATAGACCTCAGCTTCCTCTTCAGGTTGTAATACTCGACATTACCCTCAATGATGCAAGCTAGCTAAGAAGCATGGACACGTACCAGAACACGTGTAGGAGTGTCACGACTACCTATATTCTACTTGAGAGAGATTCTCAAGAGCATGATTTCCACTAGAGTCCGGCAACTTAAGACTTGCTAAATATACTTTTAAAGTATATTCTTGCTGACCGCTGATTATAGTTCAGGGAAACATGTAATGGAGGGCCCTATTTTTTGACTTTAAACAGTGATAATGGGGAGAAAAAGGATTCCTTAGTCATAATTAAGCCCGCCGCTCAAGAAATTTATAGCCTTTTATGCACATATAAAGCGGAAAAAAAAGAAAAAAAGAAAGAATGGATATGGAAATTAAAGCAGACACTGAGAAATTGGAAGACATGATTTATCTCAACTTTATTTGAGACCTTTCAGGTATAAAGAAAACAAAAATGTACTTCCACTCAGAATCATTCTTTTGATTTTATTCACTTAATAAATTAGCTTCTTAGTATATAAAGATCAGATTATTTCTCCTTCCCTACATCATCTTCCTCTGAAGCTTGTTTTCATCAAGTGGTATAGACAAAACACATCAAGAGTAAGTCTAGTGATCAAAATTTCAGCTTAATTACAATGAGTAAAAGTTGATAAGCAAGAACCTACCAAGTTATTTTTGTACTTTATGACTGTTAACAGTGTTCAAATGCTCCGGTGGCTCGGAATTCAAGTCAAATAGGCTGGAAAACATTGAGGAAGACAATGATGCAAGTTGGCTGCCAGCAATGTGCCCCCCTCCGGAAACTCCAACAGAGTCCATGGAGTTCTTGGCTAGATCATGGAGTCTGTCTGCAAAGGAACTGTCGAATGCTCTTTGCCATGTCCAAGTCGTGAAGCCATCTTCATGCTCTCCGGGCGGTTCTGCTCGAGCTGACAATGGAAGCTCTTTGCTCCCCCTGCAGGAACCTGTACGTATTTCAAATTTTATCATTCCAATTTAGTACTCCTGTGAACAGTAAAAGCATGCTTGATACATAGTATTCAACAATATTAAGAGTACAATAAACAAGATTTTAGAATACTATTGTGTAATGTCAAATCTACCTCAAAGAACACAACATAAAAGTAAACAAAACTATATAGATTTCTCTTATTATTTGTTTACCCAGTTTTCCCATTTTCTTGAAGAATCAACCATTACCAGCTTCGGAGAGTCCTCCATTATCTCCAAGAGGAAGCGATGAGACAAAGGTAATTCCTCCAAAGTCATTCTTGTAAATACAATAAATGCTTCGAGTAAAGCATTCACTTACTCTTATAACACCAGTCGAAAGTAGGGTAAGCACACTTTTTCAATGGGTTAGGTTCTAGGAACATTAATATCTCTAGACTAATGCAAAATAACACAATCTAGACACTTTCTTCATATAGTTTCATTCTAGATGCAAAATAGCATTGACTTGAGCACCAATTCATACATATCTTATGTCTGAATGCATCATGTTCCGAGGATTATTTACGATCAGTTCAATCTATACAGGAATTGCTTCAACTGCATCAAGCTTTCAACCAGGAGCTTCTTTCTAATCAACAGTTGATAAGAAATGGGGTAAGAAATTTTAAGCTCAACCAACATAACATCATATAAGAAGCCATAAACAGATTCAGGATTCTCCTGATCACTGTTATTGTCTAACAGCTCTACTGGAGCATTATCAGGAGCAAGAAAGTAGGTAGATGTTTAAAAGATCAAAAAGAGCGGAAAAGGCAGGAGAATAGAGCTCACAATGCTCAATTGCACGCAGCAATATCTGTGGCAGGGGTTGCAGCTGCAGTGGCTGCCCTTGCAGCCTCATCAATGACCTCTCCAGAAAAAGTAGCCGCCCAAACTAAGAAACCTACTGGAATTGCATCTGCAGCTGCACTTGTTGCATCTCACTGCATAGAAGTTGCAGAAGATATGGGAGCTGATCATGAACAAATCCTATCAGTCGTGAATTCAGCAATCAGTGCAAGGACTAATGGCGATATAATGACACTTACTGCTGGAGCTGCTACAGGTGTAAATTTAATTGCTGTCATAGATTCCATGATCTGAATCTAAAAAATCAATCAAAGTTCACAAATGGGAACAAATTTATTGGTTTTTCTGTAAGTGTAGTTAAGGTAGCTTAATGAAAGACCAAGACAGAGTACAAAAGACCAAACTCACGTAACCTGACTGGATAATTTTTAATGAGATTACTAGTTATTTGTGATGAATTGCTGCTCACAAGAAACTACCTCTCATACAAAGGAATCAAAAGCTAATCTATCATACTATATTCTGATTTGATATTAATTACTAATACAGCATTAAGAGGTGCTGCCACTCTAAGAGCAAGATTACATAAGGTGCATGGACCTGCAATTGCGCTGAATGACGAAAATGTTCAAATCAGCACAGAATCAAATACCTTAGCAGCATTAGATTTTGTTACAAGAGGGGAAGAAATTCTTAAATGCACAAGGAAAGGTAATGATACAGTGAATGTACTTATGCACTAACAGAGAGATTGTATTAATTTTTATGATAATAAAATCATGGTTTTTACAGGAGATCTCCACTGGAAGCTAGTCTCATTCAACATAAATTCAAATTTACAGGTAAAAATTTTGAACACTGCCATATTCTCATAACATTCAAAAAATGTTAATCCTATATAATGAAACAGGTTGTGGCTAAAATGAAAAGCAAGTACATGGGAGGAACATTCACTAAGAAAAAGAAATGTAAGAAAAAACAATTTAACTGTAACAGGTGAAGAATTACTTCAAATATCTTCCACTGTAATCTGAATTGTCTTTTCCTGGGTGCAGGCATAGTCTCTGATGTATATTGTGACATCCCAGCATGGCCTGGACGTGAGACGGAGAATAACAAGCAAATGGCCTATTTTGCAATACGAACTGCTGATAGGATAATTGAGTTTGAATGCAGAAACAAAGGGGACAAACAGATGTGGGTCGAAGGGATCCAACATATGTTGCATTTGAGTGTGCGAATGACATGATTTTGAGTTAGAGAAGATCAATAATTGGCATAAAAATGGATCTTTATTTTTACGAAAAAACTAAACGATATGGTATTCTTCAAAAATACAAACTGAGCAAAATATAATACATAATTAGTTTCAACTTTACAACAGATAACTAATGGATCTACAATAAACAATTATCTAGAATGTTTCAGCAGATAATTCTTGAAATAGCAATCTAATTTATAGGGAAATTGGTAAATGATGTTCTTGGTAATAGTTCAGTTGCCCTAAAAACTCTCTTCGGTCACACACCTTGATAGGTGGTTGCCACTCCGTGTGAATGGAGTAAATATAGTGATTCTGTCACTCTAGCTCCTTCAAAAAGTCAATATTATCGACGAATGCCTGCAAGCAATCGTGAGATCATTAAACTAAAATGTAAAACATCAATTAGAATTTGTGAACCTGTTGACTGATGGATAGATCAAACACTTGAAATTAAATTTTGATAAATAAGAAAGAGTTGCGAGCTTAGTCTACAAAATTTAGGAACAAAGACATTGATAACACAAAATTTAAACTTGCACAAAAAATAACATTTAAATAAACTGAAGGCATACCGTTTTCCAACCATCAGGATCCAAGCATAATGTGATTTTAGTATTTATCCCTGGCAAGGGTCCAGGTTCACGGATGATTTTTCCACCGGAAAGTTTTATAGCCTCTGCAGTCTTATAAACATTATCTGTACCAATTGCAATCTGGTAAAACCATAACAAGTTTCACAATGATAGAACTTTGATAACCATATAAGGAATAATTTCCTAAGCATGTAATCAGTTACAAGTAAGGTTGAAAATTTACCTGAATATAACCATTTCCTTTGTCATATTCTCTGATGCCATAGTTATATGTCAATTCCAGAACTGTATTTTTATCTTCAGGACCATAACCCATAATGGCCACAGTATACTGAATATAATCACCCCCCCCCCCCAACACCCCCCCCAAAAAAAAAAAAAAAAAAAAAAAAAAAAAAAAAAAGAAAAAGCCACAAAAAAAAAATCGAGGGTCTTCACTTATTGGAAAATTGTGGTTATCGTCTGTAACATTTTTATAATACCTTTGGAACCAAAAGAAAGCAACGTAGCAGAGCAGAGCCACCAGCTACAGCTTACAACTCAGCAACTCCACCTTCATTTGCTAGGTAAATTCTCCGTTTTTTCTTTTCCTCACACAGTAGATTTCTCTAAAACCACTCGTTTTTGTTTACTTCTTTCAAATTGCACTTTATTGAATACCTGACGAGTTGTTTTGTTAATTATTACAAAATCACCCCATTTGGCTTTTCAGTTAATTTTGAAAAGGGTTTTTTTTGGGGTTCTTTTGAGTGAGGTATATTGGAGGCTAGTATGTTGTTGAGTGAATTTCTGTTTAATTTGTTATGGCTTTAGGTTCTTCTTCTCTAGATCGAGCTGTTTTGTTTGCTTTTGAATTTGTTAAGACTTCAAATGTGAACATTCTTCTTTTAAGGAGCTTCTGAGATCTATCAAAATATATTTCTTTGGTATGTTTTTATTAGTACCAACCCTTTAATAATTTATTATTGCCTTTTTTTTTTCTTTTTGTGATGCAGATAAGGAGCTCAAGTTGTAGATATTCGTGCCGCAGAGAAAAAGGAATGGAAAACTTGAATCAAAGAGTTTTAATATCTCCCTGATCAGCACTCACAATAAGAAATTCAACCCCAAGATTTTTCCTTTCAATCGAAAAGAGCTGGTTCTGTTGCTGTTATCATTATGAGTTCTTCAATTGATTGAGATTTTGGACTCTTTAATATAGTGACGATGATGGGATAATAATTTAAGTTCCTTCCACGGATTTGAGCTTAATACAATAAATCCCACTTGGAATTTCTTCACTGCTACTACTGCAAATAAGTTACTGCAGGGGAACTATCCTATCTACAATGGCTGGGAATTGAATCCCATCTCTCGGGGAGAGGCTGCTTCTATTTCAAGCTAAAATGATTGACCAGTTTATTAATTTTGTCATTCGCCCACCCAGGTACATTTATCTATGAAACTTGTTCTCTAATTTTTGAATCTTTTTCAGTAGTGCTGTTTGAGTTTTTATTCTGTACTGTCAAGGATAAACTGAGTTGTCATGACCTTAAGTGATTGCAGAACTAACAAAGTCACATTTGAATTAGTATCATATTCATGCCAAATCACCTTGCACAGGTCACACTGGCTTTGTTCCTTTCCTTTTCAGAATTATAGATAATAATGTCATGGAACTTCCTTTAAAATGGGAAGATAAATATTGGATAAATGAAATTGTAAATTTTGAAGACATTATTTAAATAATGTTTATGATGATCAACACGGTATCATATAACACAAAGGTCCGTCTCGCCACCATCCAGTTAAATTAAATTTTACACGTGTTGGGAAAAGTAAGCCCCACCTGCATGTGAGAGATGTGTTGAAGATAATATTTTAATTATATAAACGTGGCCTTCTGTAACCTCAAGTTTCAAGATCAAATGGTTCAACAATTACAGAATTTGATTATATATAATAGCTTCCACGTTGACTCTGTAGAGCAGAATGTAGGAGAGGAGAGTAGAAATATCAGCATAGGAAAAGTTAATTGTGTTCCTGGTGGAGTAGTTTTCTCTATTTGACACGGACAAGTTCTTACTTGTGTGTTTAATTTAATTTCATGGTTATCCTATAGTATTCTTCAAAAGTCTGAAGTAAGTGTCAATTTTCGTACTTACCAGAATAACCATGAAACCACACACACGCCCCTCAAAATGTTGATATAAGAAGAAAATAAGAAGATGACTGAGATCATAAATAAGAAATATGCAACCAGAGAAACAATTGAGTGTACTCAAATTAATTCCAGAAGGAGCAAATATTCTGGAAGATTATTATTCATCTTAGGCATTCATAATGCCTCCATCAAGAAAAAACTTCTGTTTGGGGTATCTAGTCTTAAAAATTAGAGCTTATAAATTTGCTTAGAAGTTTTAAAATAAGTGAAATCAAAATTAGAAATAGTTAAGAGTATTTTACATTAAGTTTTTTAATTGTAAAGCAAAAAAATGGTAACTTGCCCTGAAAGGGGGCCAAAGAACCCACACAATAAGTTGCAAGATACAATCGAACTTAATAACAGAAATTAAACTTGCAGAAAATAAAGAACACAACAAGATTTTTCGGCCGAAACCCCAGAGGTTCAATGACTAGCACCTAGTCCCCTGTTGAACATCCAATCGAAGTGGATATTGCTCGGTTGCACTAAAGTCCCAAAAACAGGCAATCGAAGGTTATAAAGTTCAAGCACTACAAGAATACACAAGAAAGAGACTTATCTCTTCGAAGGAACCACAGATCTGCCTCAGACTCACAACGAACTAACAGACCACATTCCTAACCTCAACACATTAGGACTCTATATATCACTCAAGAAATAGATCAGTATTTAGTGGTTAATAACCTTCCAAAACATCGAATGAGATGATCGATTACAGAAAATAGGGAAAACTAAAAACCCTAACTCGAGAGAGAACTAAAGAACACTCTCGAACCTCACTCAAGAGTTAGATGAATGAAAAGTCACACAGCCAAATGAGCCGTCAATCTCATTTATATCACCAGCATGTAAACCCTTCATCCAATGGTGGGAATAAAGCCAGGTGTCATCATCAAGCAGGATGCCATTTATAAAAGTGTATTTCCATAACACGTTTTTGGTGGCTGAAAATATGGAAGCACCAATAACATGGTTGGAGTCACAACATGCCCAATATGTAGTATAGTTTAAAACAAAAAAAAAAATAAATAAAAATCCCATGTTCTGAAGCTCAGCCAAACATGCTAAATCTTTCAAATTTCCTTCAAAAATGAGAAAAACTCAAACAATGCAAAGCCCAAATATTGTTTTACTCACATGCATTGAATACGCAGATAAAATCACATAATAATGATTTATAAGAACATATAAGTAATTTAAATATAAAAATTGGTCACGTCTAAAAAAAAAAAAAAATTGAAAAATTATGAGAGCATACCAGTGCCGAGCTGAAGAAGGGCGATTCTACGAGATGGGTTTTCAGCAGAGGCATTAAAAACCCTGGGTTTGTAATTATTAGTATAAGAAGAAAATGTACTGACAGAAAAACAAGGTTGAGCTGACGTCACTTTAAACGCCATTGGATACCACCTTCATCTGCTGTAGTTAACGTCCGTCACTTCTTTCCAGTATTCGTTCTTAGGATTAGTTTCAATTTTGATCACTTAACTTTAAGTAAAATCTTAATATGGTTACCAAACTTTAACTTATTGCAATTATACCACTGGATTTCAATTTTATTTTTAATATTAGACCCTATTTGGTACATATTAACGTAAAAATGAGAATAAAAAATATAGTCGTTACGACCCCCACACAAAAGATAGAAAGTCAAATATAATGACTTGATATGATAAATAACGATCATATTTTTCATTTTAATGAACAAATAATGAGAAATAAACGGGAACTTAATATCAATTACTCCAGCCTCTAATATTAACTTTAACGCCCCAATCCTATTATTCTTATTATTATTATAATACATTGATTGCAATCTATCAAGGCTTAAGTTTTAAGGTAAACACGTTACCTAGTGATGTTGTGATTGCAAAAATATTTAAAATAAAAAGTATTTAAAAAATTAATGACAATTCGTTTAATGAAGTATGCTCAAAGCTCCATTCATCCCTAGTTTAAGATAGATTTTAACTTTAAATCATAACGGAGGCCATCAGTGACTAATATCGGAAGTAAATTGAAATTCAGTGATATTATTGTGACAAAACAAAGAGAAGCGGGTCATTGAGATTTTACTGAAAATTTATTGACCAAAAATGAAATTAACCCTTTTTACTTACTATTCATGGGCTGGGCTAATTGGACTGACATAATGTGAGGCCACTAAGTTTGGAGCCCAGTTTCAAGCCTAGTTTCTTGGGAAAATTACACCATATACCCTACTTCCTTCCCATATTCGACTTTTACTTTTAAACTTTTTTTAATTACAAAAGAATGCGAAAAAGTAATAACAAAATACCGTTCCAAACTCCACCCATGCAGTGGTTCAAATGAGTGATTGAAAAGTTAATAAAAATTAAATATCATTACATAAACTTATCCATCCACAGTTTGGTTTAGATAAAAAATTAAATTTTTAGTAGATTTTAATAAAACGGGCTGTTGAAAAATTGTGGATTTCATTAAAATGTATAATTGAAAATGAGTTTGAGAAAAAATGAATTTTGAAAAATAGAAACCCAACATGGGTTTAATATAAATGCTTGTTTGATTTTAATGTCAAGAACAAAAGTCGAGTACTTGTGTACAAAAATTTAATAAGTTGGAGACTCGCTAGCATTTTTTTTTTCTTTTTAAAAGAAATCTTATTACTTTATTCAGTAATGCCCGAGAATAGGGGGCAATAAGACAATTAAAAATGCAAATTTATGACATGAAAATTTTAAAAAAAAAAAAAAAAGTGAAATAAAAGATTTTGTGTGCTAGCTCTTCTATGTCTTTTCGGACAAAATTGTCGACCGATATGGCACATCACAACTTTACCACTAACAATAAATTAAATTTTATATTAGTAAGTTTGGAATCGACTCTTTCAATATTATTATTATTATTTTATTTTATTTTATTTTATTTTATTTTTTTGGGTTATGGTGTTTGGTTTATTAATGGTACCTACATATAAAGATTTAATATGAACATCATTTTTTTTTTTAATAGTAACATCAATATGATCGAGTTTCTAACCAGCACTATAATGGTTTTTTTAGCCTGCGTTGCTCTCCTAGCATGCTTTGTTAGGATGATACAACTTTCATTAATTATTTATTTATATCTATGGAATGCATGTCTCTACCAGTTAAGTATTAAGACTCGAGGTTCAATATTAAAAGATCGACT